AAAAATAATAGTAAAATTTAAAAAAGACAGCTCTTTATCTGTTAAAAAAAATGTCCATTTGTAACACAGTTGCTATGTATTTAAAAAAACCCAACACAACTGCACTGGAGAGAAGCAACAACTAGTTTTTTGGGGGTTTTTTCCAGCATTACCTTTTTCTAAGTTTGTTGAGATTTTGGTTTTTGTTTTTAATGTGGCCACACATAACTGAGTACTGTAGAATCAGAAGAGTACAGGAGTCAGTAACTATCAGCTTGAAATGCCTTGTATTGCCCCTCTCCCAATTAATGACACACACCCTGCTAAGCAAGAGTATAAATGAAGATGCCAGACAGATTCCTGCAGGCTGGCAGAGGTTTGTGAGGTGGGTTTGGATATCAGCTTGGTCAGTCTCTTCACTGGGGAGTTCTGTGCATTGTGGCTGCAGAGGGTGGTTTTTCCACTGTGCAGGGCTGCTGCAAGAGCCTTTTATGGCTGTTTGGCTGTTTCAGTGAGGAAAAGCATGTGAATATCCTTCACCACTTGCCCCTTTTTATGGTCCTTGGCATACTTCCCCTTGAATTAAATTGGGTGAAAATGTTGTTGGTTCTGTGTTGCTATTCAACATACAACAATTTCCAAATGTTTCCCACCATCAAAATGAATTAGTGGAGGACACTGTTCATTCAAGCTCTTGTTCTGGTTATTTTTGGAAATGTTTTCTTTCCTGTTTCATTCTCTTAATTGTTGTTCAGCTTTGATATCTAAAAAGCTGAAGAGACATCTGTGAAATGGTGAGCAGCTAGAGTTAGATGTGGGCTGTGTTGCAGTCACATAATGGAAAAAAATATCTCTGAAAATTGGAACTTGGAATAAAAAATACACCATGCAGCTGTATTGGAAAGCTCCTTTGGGGGAGCTTAAATACTGGATACTTCAACTCTCACATGCTTAGACTGGGTTTAGTCAAACTCCAGCTGGTAGAGAGTCCACAGATGGAAATGTTTTGCTGGGACTTTGTGCTTCTCTCAAAACACTTCCCCTCAGCGTGCAAGAGCTGGAGCACCCACTTTGCTGCCTCACACTCCTCTGTATTTGTGTTCATGCTTGTCAGGACTTGTTGTTTTATTTTATTGGTAGTGGAGATTGCATTTAGCTAAATTTAGGTAGTAAATCTTTGTAGCAAAAAAACCTGGGGACAGTTTGCAGAGAACAGACTCCAGCTGTTCGGTCTCACCGTGTGTCCTGCTTTGCTGGGAGCCTTGGCTCAGGGGTCCTTGCTCCTGCAGGACTTCAGGGAAGCACTGCCTGGCTGAAGACATCTGCTTCCTGCACCTTTGTGAGGAGAAACACGTCAAAGCAAACCAGTGCTGCACAAAAATGCTGAAAGAATAACAATTTCAAAGAAAATGTTCCGAGGTGAGAGCCTTTGATGGCTCAGCAGGTAAGAGCTGGTGCTTCCTTTGAAAGTACAGGGGATGGTGGAAGGGAAGCTGCCAAATCCCTAGAGACCCTTCCTGGCTTTAATTTCCTCCTCACCACCATAGGAGGGTGGAGCTGGTGTGATCAGCCTGAGCTCTGCTTGGGTTCTGCCCCATGGATCTGCCCAGTAAGAGGAGTTTGGTGTTGTCACTTGGCCTGTTTGAGAGGAGCCTCCACTCCTTGCTCTGTGGTGAGGTGAGAGGTGACAATAATCCTACAGCCTGTGTCTGCATGAGATGAGTTCAGAAGGGTGCTGGGATTGGTGCCAGCAGTGGGAGCTGACAAAATGGGACATTTCCCAGTTACTTGCCAAACTAACTTGGGAGAAAACGTACTTTGGGTCTGCCTGCAGCTGAGTGTGGTGCTGGTGTCAGCCCCTGCAGGACCTGAACTCAGCTCCCCTTCTCCTGCAGCTCCTGGTGAGTGGGCTGGAGGCTTGGGGGCAGCTGTGCCCACTATGGGGCAGCTGATCTCACTGAACAGGGAAAAAGCAGGAACTGTTCAGTGCTACTACCTCCAATACCAATCCCCTGGCTGAAAGGAAAACAGCAGCTCCCAGTCTTCGGGGGAACAGGAGAGGGAAACATCCCTGGCTGGTCTGCTGCTTGCATTAATTATGCTCTCACATTGCATAACCTGGCCCCACATGCCAGGCCACAGGAATGTGTTTTTGTGTGCTACTCCTGTGCAGCTCCTGGTCCTGGATAAACACAGCCAGAGGCACAGGGATGGCTCTGTCACAGCTCCTCTCGGTGGCAGCACACCCAACACAGGCAGAGAGGTGAGAAATCACTGCCAGCACAGCAAAACTGCGTGCAACCCCTGTGTGAAGCATCTACACAAGTCTGTGAATTCCAGGGATAAACTCTGTTCAAGGAGCTTCCTTAGCTCTTTATCTGACTGCCAAGGAAAAATGTCTTGTCAGGTTGGGAACAAACATTCCTGGTCTGCATGCTATTAAGGCTTAATAGATGGACTGGATGACCTTGGGCTGGATGACATTTAAAGATCCCTTCCACCCCAAACTATTCTATGAATCCTTGTCCCGTGGCCTAGCACCTCCATGAGCTGGCCCACAAAAAAGAATGCCAGAAATGCCTTCACTTTTTCCCAGGCAGCTGGGATTGCAGAAATGCACGTGGCATTAGCAGTGGTGAGCACCTTCATGGTACATTCCCAGCTGCAGGCATACCTACAGCTGAATTTGCCCACATCAGAGGAGCTTCTTGTCTGGGATCTCTGCTTTAGGTACATTCCTGGAACATCATCAGGGAGCTTCTTTTGAGGCTCATTTTCCACCATGGTTAGATGATGCTTATTTATGGGCTGCCTATTATACCAAGAAGTAAAATGGAATAAATCAGCAGCAGATGTTAGTGTGGTGATTTTTTAAATGACAATCAAGATTCAAAAAAAAATCTGGCTTTTAGCTATAAGTGAACATTGTCATTTCCTATGCCTACCTGGTGTCTGTGCATCATGGCTGGGGATTCAAGATTGCAGCTGGTGTAATCCTGACAGAGGTTTTGAGCTCCCTTCTCTGCTGAACAATATGGTCAGATTCAAAGCATCTGCTCAGTGTCACAGTCACTTTCAGGGATTAATTTGCAATTCTGAGCTTGGCCAGACTTTAACAAGTGTCAGTTTACAGCCTCATTCTGACCAGTGCTGTTCCTTGTGTGAGCACTGAGGCTATTTCCCTGTGCACAACAAAGAGCCCTTGGCAGTGCTGAGGGCTGCTGTGATCATCAGGCAGGTTATTATGCTGGCCAGTGCCAAGGTTCAGGTGATTAGTCCGAGTGCTTTTGAGCTGTTGAAGCTTTTGAAACGTCCACCTTCCCTTAGCCTAGCTGGAAGCACACTTGCCATCTCATAGTTGGAAAAAATCAACTGGCACTGACATTTAATAAAGAAAACTCATATAGAAACTGTTCCCTCTGAGGGTGGCTGGCTCGAGCAGTGTCACAGGAGATGGATGAGCAGTTATTTTCTCTGTTATTGTCACATACCACACAGAGTATCCTTGATGCCAGCTGGCTTTATCACCATTTCTGAGATTCATATTTTCCTGGACTTTATCAAGTATCACAAGTATTTCTGATATTTTCTTGCATTTACCTGCTAATACCGGCAATGCTTTGAAGCACCTGTGGTAACTGAAAATTCTCTGCAACTGGTTTAAATTAATCTGATAAGATTATGATTAACTTGTTTAACCGCTTTCCCTTTTCAGATGTCTGTACTTAGAAACATCCTCAGAGCATTCCAGAGTTCCAGAAGTGTGAAACTTCATTAACTGAATGTTTAACCTTCCTGTGTGCAAGAGCAGCACATCTCTGCTCCTGTTTACACTCAGCATTCTAACAGAACTATTTAATGTTTCAGCTGGGTGCTGGTTTGAGTGTCCTGCATGCTTCCAGTGGTTTAGGACTTTGGTGTGGCAAAGGTTATATCAGGAGTTCAGCCACCAGCATGTCCCTTCTCAGTTTTTCTGCAGGAATGGGCTACAAACAGGCTGCTGGACTGCATGGCCCTGGGGAGCAGCACTTCTGCAGTTCTCAAGTGTCATTCTCAAAATTAGCAATGGGACTGAGTGGGAATAAAGCCCTCAGGGAGGTGAAAAAGGGTAAACAGTATCAAGAAAACTAACAAACCCATGAAATATCTAATACTGCTAGGTTTACATCCTGGCTCTGTGATTCTGAGGCTGAAAATGCCTAACACTGTTAATCAGTGAGGAAATACCAGCTCACAGCTCCCTTCATGGAACTGGTGTTGAGAGAAGAAACATAACGGGAAAAGCAAAAGTATAAGAACACATTAAGGTCTTGTGCAGGAAGACAGGGTCTTGGGGTGGCATTTGATATTTAAAAATCCACCTGTGCTGAGTACAGTGAGCAATCCTACACTTTCCAGTCCTTCTGGAGTCCTTGCTGAATGCTCCTCTGAAGTAGCTCCTTTGTCACCTTACAGCTGAGTGACACCATCCTGTGACAGCAAGGCACAAGCAGCATCAGCACTGACAGAGCCACTTAGCATTACAAATACTTATACAAACTTAATTGATCCAAAATACATGAAACAAACTATAGCAGCAGGGCAAATTTCATTTTGCCATAAGGAATCCTGTATCAAGGCATGTTCTCTTTCCAACACTGTCACTCTCACATGGGTACTGCCAGGTCAGGGAAACCACTGGGGGGTCTCTTCCAACACATATCAGTGGGAGTGGGCTTTTTCTATACCTGGTCAAGTCCCAGATGATGGGAAATGCAGTTTTAACATCACACCTGGGAAAAAAATAGTGTCTCCACTGTACATCCCTCACTGGTCAGTATAATTGTACATCCACTCTCATCCAGTCTCTTGTTATGTACTAGAAATGGGCATTTCTAGCTGCTCACCTACTTACCATGGCCTTATTTCAAACTCTATAGTGGTCTGTCCTATTTTTTATTCACCTGTGATAAATAGAAGCAGTAATACTGATTCTCTGTTGTGAAAATGGACCTGGAATACATCAAATAAAGAGAAAATGGTTATAGCCAGAGAATCCAGTTTAATAGGCCGCTATACAGGAAGACTTTGTTCTATCATACATTCTGGAAATAGTTTTCAAATGTTACTTACAGATACTGTATAAAATAGATACCAGTTTTATTGATTATACATCAAGATTCTTCGATCATTTAACCTGCTATTAAGTAATATATAAGATGTGTGGTGGAAAGTGAGCAACACTTTACAGGACAATCTAAATCTAATAAATAGATCTGTATCTCACCACGAGATTGAGCCACTGCTGTGCCGTTGTCAGACTACAGAGCAACCACAACGTCACACACACTGCTACAGCTGCACATGGTAAAATAGGAGATGAAAATCCCATTCCTTGAGCAGCTCCTCTTCCCTGCATGACTATTTTGGTTTTGGTCTGTACAGTAATACTGTGTGTGCTTGTTTGGTCCATGCAAAGCTATGAACAGTGTCTCATTAGGAAAAATAGAATTTAAATTGAAGAGGTATCGTTTCAGTTAATTTGGGGTTAAAATGCAGTATCTCTCTGATCACAGGAAGGGCAGTACCTGCTCTTTCAGGGTGTCTATTTCAACAAGAGGGTGGAAGTAGCTACTCAAGTGTTTTAAGCAACACAGCTCTTGGTGTCCAGACTCTTTGTAAGATACTCTTAGTCGAAGAGGTTAGCAAGGATTGTACTCCTGTTACAGCATGTGTTTGGGAAAATACAGGTCAGGGGGAAAAAAAATCCAAAACTCAAATCTGAAACTGGCACTTCTTTACCCACAGGCTTACCACACCATTGAGAACAATTTCACTCTGGAATATACAACATGGCAGCTGGTTCAAGCTGCAAACTGCATGTTTTCTATTGTCACAGGAATCAATAGCATACTGGAAATAAATAAGAAAAGAAAAAACCAAAACGCTGCTGTTTGGCTGAATCGCAAGCAGTGTGCACAATATGCCAAATTTACAGAGAGATTTCCCATTCAAACAAACTTCAACAGAAAGAGACCACGGGGAAACAAACTGCATATTCAGGAAAATACCAGTGGCACCACTTGCCAAGACGTAGGATGCTGTGGTTTTACAGTCCTTGCAGGGAGAGGGCAGCAGCCTCACTCGAACATCTCGTAGTGGCGTGTTTGCCTCACCCTGGGCACCATATCAATGAGCAGCCTGCAGGGAAAGCACAAAGGATCATGCACAGGACAGACCCAGAACGGAATATTTAAATATTTATGAATAAAAAAGAGCTCACGTGGTGTAACAGCCTTTAGAGTTTTCCAGAACTGTTAGTTTTACAGTGGAAATTGTGATTATACCGACCTATTTAAGAGCGGTACTTCCCATTAAAATGTTAATTGAATTTTCCAAGTTGAAAAAAAAAAAAAAACCAAACCCACACAGCTTCCAGCTGAGAGCTGACTGCAGCCTGGCCAAGGGCTGCTTCTCAACTGGCATAATTCCAACTAAGATGCTCCATCTTCCACCTTCTCTTGTGGCATATAATCCATAAGGGATAAAGTCCAAAATTTGTGTGGCAGAAGTGCATGGCAGAACTCTGTTTTGGTTTTTATTCTGTTTCTGGTGTGAATCAAGAAAGCATCTTAAAATTCAAGAGAAACAGCATCTGAAACATGAGCAGGAACCTTCAGAAGTTGCCAAAGGTGGGGCTGGGATGGAAATCAATAGCAAGATCCCTCTTTAAAACCTGGGCACCTTTCCTTTAATCCAAAGGCAAAGCAGAGCTCAGAAATGTGCCATAAATGCAAGGAGGACTGATTTTATCTGTCATTTGTGGTTATTTTGGAGATATTTTATTTCAAGTATACAAGAATCTAAAATTATTCCAATTTCTTTTTAAGTCCTGGTTGCTTTCCAGCTGATGTGGAGGACACAGGCCTTTATAACCCTTTCCACACACTCTGCTCCAGCATTGTCTAATAAATTCCAGGGACTGATTTCACTGGAATTACCTAAACCATTACAGACCTCCTATGTGGCCCTGCCTGCTCCCAGGAGATACTCACTTGATTCCATAGGCAGATATTGTAAGTCCAATTAACACTCCTATACTGCCATCCAGGTACCAGACAGAAGAATTGTGTTTAAACACTTCTGCACTAAGAAGGATGGAAAATCCCATTATTCCACCCACAAGAGAGTTGAAACCTAGAAGGGGGAAAAGAAATAATTAAAGTATGAACACCAGGAGCTCATGGAAAGGAAAATGGTTTTGCACAGTGACCTGTCAAAGGCCCTCTCTTGGAGTTTTTATCCCATTCCATATATTTATTTACATACTTGGCACCATTGCTTAGAGCTATAGACATTGCTGATGACATATAGGATAATCCTAGTAATATTTTCTATTTATGCTTTAGCTAGACCACAGTAGCTTCTTATCTACTATTTACAGTTCTAATGTACATCCTTTTAGATTCCTTCTTTTTTTTTAATTGTTCATTTTTCTCCAAAAGAAAAATTAATGCCCTTTTCCATTCAACTCCCGTTTGATTGATTATTAATTTGGGGTTTTATAAGTCATTCCTTGTGTTCTGTTTTTCAACTCCACATTCCCCTGTTGTTCTACACACAAAAAAAAGTCTGAGAATGCATTAATTTGGTAGATCCATACACTATTTAACCTAGATAACAAATGAAATATTAGACTTGAAATATTCTTTATTGCTTGGTGAGTCAGCTCTAGCCAGCTGCTGTTTACAGGAGTTAGCCAGGTTTTTGCAATTCCCCATGACTGCCAACAATGATACACTGACACTTTTCCTGAGCCTGTCCTTTGATCCACCCCTCTCACATCCAGTCTTTGTCTATTTACTCATTTATACTGCTAACACGTGCTGAAATGGTGTATATTGTGTCTATAGATATAACAAATATAAAATATAAATTAATAATTAGAATTTTTAAACCAGTGTTACTTCCCCTGCTCCAGCTTAATTCAGAATCCATCAGCACAATGGATTCACACAAAATAATAAAACATTTTCATGCCATTTTTGGACGATGGTTCCAAATAATTTAAAAGCTACTTGCAAAGGAAATTGTTTTCCCTTCCTGACTCTCATTCAGGCAAACCTTTCTTAGCTGATGTGGCAGGAAATCATGTAATGGCTGCAGGTATTAATCCAGACACTGTTCTGAGTGTAAGGCCAGCAGAGGAAAAAAAAGGTGGCTAAATCTGGATAGGAAACAGGTAACTAAAACCTACAGGAAAGTTGGCTGACATCACTGACTGTCACAGAATTGTCCTCTGGGATGTCACAAAATTCAAGGCAGGAAATGGCTATTTTTATTACCCAAAAGGCCAAGAGCTTTTGCTGTAAACAAACAGTACAAATGACATTTTGCCTCATTAGGATTCATACATCTAGGATTTAAACAGATATTGCTGTTAAGCCCTACTCTAAAACAAAATCATTCCAAAAAAATTAAGAGAGGTTGACATACATAAAAGAGAATTTGCTGTTCTGAAAAGAAGCCTATTTTTTAGGAAGAAAAATTCATGCTCCTTTTATTCAAAACAGTTTGTTGATCTGGAGCCAGGGATCACAGGAGGTAAATTAGCAGGAAACAGAAAACACTAAAAAAAGATATGCAAGGGACTGCTAAATCTGTCTCAGCTGCTGAATCACATTGTCTCTTCCTGATCGTTAATAAATCAAGTACATATGTAAATATACCCTGTGAAAGCAGATATTTAACCACACATGTTAAGATCAGCCTCCTACATTTTCTAAAGTAGTTTTAAAGGGGAGAAGAGAGATAAAAACCAGGTTGAGGTAATTGTATACTTTTTTCCCTATTTTTTTTTAATCAAAGAATGAGCAGCTCAGAAGCAGTATCATTAGCATGAGGATGTAATTATGGGAAAAGAGATTTCTCTGTCATACAGGAGAACAATTCAGAGGTGGAGTTATTTTCAGTTAATATTTTGGCTGAATAAACTGCATTGTTTCAAAAGTAAGCTACATTTTTTTAAAGGGAGGGTTCCTCATTTGCCTGCCTAGGCACAGCTCTGAAATGGCCAACGTGTCCCACTTCCACCCTGGCAGTGAAGGAAGTCAGACTCACTGGGCTGCAGTTCCCAGCATCCTTTCCAGAATCCTTTTTGCAGGTTGGAGATATTTTTGTTTTAAAATGTCTAGAGTGGCAGAGCCCATTGGAAAGAGTAAGATCTCCGAGCTGGAAGTCTGTTGGGAGATACTCCCAAATGCAGGGAGGCAATAGCTTAGTTGTAACCCCCTCACTGCTATTCTGATGCCTTTTTTGCTTCTTTCAGATTTAAAATATAAATACTCATGAAGAATTTATATAAGTGGGATGATAGAGATACTCATAGTACATGCTATCACACATCATCCAGAAAAAAATTATGTTTAATTTGCTTAAAATAAAGCAAAATTTATGTATCTCTAGAGTAAACTGAAAATTGAATTTCCTTAAAGTGAAATCTGTAGCAAAGAGTAAAATAATTTAGGCAGCACAACCCATGAATCATGAACCCCTACAGTGTCTGTTTACTGAGTATTTCAAACTGCCCTGGCAGATAAAACTGGGAGAGATCTGCAGGGAGCTGTGAAACTTCTGCAATCACTGTGGCCTCACCCATTTGAAGGGCAGATCCTTGGGATTTCTGAGGATTCAGGAGCTTGAGCCCTGTCAGTAAGAGGAACATCTGGACCTACTTTCAAAGCGTGGTTTTGGAGCTCCTTTATAACCAGAAGCAGTCAGGTGCTGGGCTGATGCAGTGGTAGCAGTGAGGGGCTCCAAGGATGCTGTGGAGATCCAGCCTGTGCCAAGCCCCAGCAGGGCAGGGCAGGGCAGGGCTCTGTCTCACACCTGCCCTGCCCCAGCAGCTCTGCTCCCTGTGCTGACAAATGACACCAAAGGGACGCCCACCAGCACTGTGGGTGCTGGTGGTGATCCCTGCTCAAGGCAGGCAGTTTTCTGCAGCAGACTTTGCTTCATTTGAGCTTTCCAGGCACAGGCAGGGAGGATGGAGGTGACTTAACCAAAGCTCTCTAAATTGGTGTCATATCCCCCTGCTGCAGCCTAACCTCTGACTAATACACCTCTAATCCATTATGTGCTCTATCTCCAACTCTGTTATTGCTTACTATCCACACATTCACTGTTTGGCTCCCACCAGGCATTCCATTTCAGCTGAGCTTTCTGTGCTAGAAACCAGTGGTACCACAGCCTGTTCCAGGGTTTGGGTTTTCTCCCATCTCCCAGTGGCTGCCTTACTTCAATGCTGTCTCACAGCTGTCATCATGAAGGTGTCCCTGGAAGAGTCTCTAAAAGCAGCAGGATCAATGTCACACTCACCATCGGTTATCAGTGCTCTGCTTGTAAGGACCTTTCCCAGCATAAATTTGATTACTGCCAAGACTGTGCAAAGGATCCCACTTAGAACAGAAACACTATACAGAAAATCATCCTGGGGGAAAAAAAAAAAAGAGATGTCAGACATTAGTATGTCTTCTGGTCATGTCCCACCTAATAAATGAAAATAGTACTAATTACTGTGCAATTATTTGTGCTACTGAGAAACACAACCTGAGATCGAGATTTCCTACCTTATGACTGCCTCAGCAGCTGGTGCTTATTTTGCTTGTATTGTCACCTGCAATTGCTTTTTGCAGCCATAATTAATGACACCTCCAATCAACAAACTGTGAATTGACCCAGCCTCCTCAGGGTCAGGAGATTATATTTACCTGTTGGGCTGAGTGCAGACTGCCAGGTCATCCTGTGCCTAATGCCAGCAGTAATGAAGTCCCCACAGGCAGGAGGAAGGCTTGAAAATAGAATCCCACTTACCAGACCAATATTGATTCTTGGTGTAAGAAATAACCATTTAATGTTGTTTCTGATTCTGGGCTTGCTTTGATTTTGTTTCAGTTCCTTTTTCAAAAGTCTGGTTCAAGCTACATCCATAAAACTTCTGATGCCGATGTGCAAAGTAAGGTTTAGCTCTTTCATAGAAAACAAATTTTTCATTGGACTTCCATTTCACAGAAGCGTTCCCATTGCTTAATTTGCACGTGAAGCATGGGTTCCCCAGGCTCCCTCAGGAGAGAGCTGTGGGTCAGTGCAGGGCAAAGAGTTAGTTATTACTGTTTAACACCATTCTCTAGAGGCCATCAGGAGGCCCCCAGCCCTTCCTGCTGACAGGTTTGTGTTTGGTTGGGCCGGGAGGACACTGCTGGGTGCTGACATGCTGCAATAAGGTGCCTAAAGGGGGTCCCCTGTGCCTTCTTCCCCCTGAGGTACCTCAGCCCATGGGCTGCAGAAAAACCCACAGCTCTCAGCCTGCCTGCCACCTAACCACAGAGCTTTGAGTTAGATTCATTTATTACTCTTGATAGAAGCTTTAATTCAAGCTGTTGCAACACCATTGCAAGTAAAGGAAATAGCAAGAATTCTTTTCAATTTGTATCTGCAGGTCTAAGTGGGCCAGTGCCACTGGGACCCTGTTCCTGATGAAAACACTCTGGTGAAAGTCCCCGTTGGTACCAAACGTTGTCATGATGATTCATCAGCAGCTCCATCCATTTTCATTATTTTAGCAGCAATTTGAAACCCAAAGAAATCAAAAAATGGGTTTGAAAGCTGCTTAGGAAGATACTGGGAATTAGATTACTGGTATAATGTACTCACATCCCTAAATAAATCATTCAATATTTTTTTATACAATTTGTATGTCATAAGATTTTGAAATTCTACTTCACTCACATCATGAGCTCATTCTCTCTAGACCTGGTACAATATTAACAATATTAAGACAAAATGTACTGAGGGAAATAGAGTAAAATAGAAGCAAAGAGAACACAGAAGTCAAGTACCGGGTAAAGGTAGGATAAAAAGCATTCATAAAGTTATTTTAACAGAACAGCTGAAAAATATCTAGGCAATTTCCGAGTGCTAGGGAAGGACTAAGGAAATAGTGGCAATATTTGGTTGCTGTCAATCTAACAAGGAAATTTGAGAGTTCTCAGAAGGTCTGAAATGCCAACAAAGCTTCAAAACTCTGGACAAGCTTTGCAAAAAGCACTCAAAATTTGAGATCCTTGTCAAAACTATGCCTCTAATTTTGATGCATCTTTCTCAAAAATGTGTATTTTCAGTGCCCAAAGACCTCATTTTGATAGCTTAACAAGTTCTGATGTGTTAATCTAATCTCATCTAATATTTTACCTAATATTTAAAATACAGTGTAAGTGTAAGGCTCCAGTTGCTGAACAGGCTTTTTTATAGAGGATACATATTCAGGATCTAGAAATTGTTTTTAAATTTGACTTTTTTTTTCTCCCTGCTGAATCACATAAGACTATAGTGTCACAACAAGACTCATTTTGTTCTTGATACTAACCCAATAACCACTGATAAAGCAAAAGACCAAACAAATCGAAGCTCCTTTGTAATCACTGTGGATGCAAGAAAGGGAAGAAATTAAAAAACCCTGCTCCAAATGCAGACACTTTCGGCTGTGCCAAACATCTTTTTGGAAGGCGATATTCCCAGTTTTACTCCTGAACAATTCCCAAAATCCGTAAAGAACACCCAAAAACTCTGAAGAACACCCAAAATCCCTAAACATCACCCAAAATCCCTAAACATCACCCAAATCTCCAAACGCCACCCGGAGCAGCAGCTCCTCGCAGGAGCCACCGGGAGGCGGCAGATCCCGCACGAACCGAGCGCGGCTGTGCGCACCAAACCCAAGAAGGAAAAAAGCCTTTCAAACTCTCTTTTTTTCAGTACTTCTCTGCTCTTTCTGGGCGTGCAGCCGCCCCGGAGCTGGAAGAAGAAGAGTGAGGTTATTTGCTGCTGCCAAGAAGGTTTTGCGGGTGCACCAGAGCAGCCCAAAGCGGGGATGCTCAGCCGGGTGAGGGTGAAAGAGAAGAGAAGAGAAGCAGCTCACGACGTTGCCTTGGCACTGTTTTGCTGCCAAGCAGCTGGAAGTGGTTTGGGACAGCAGGATTCAATGAATTAGCCGAGGGAAGGCTGCTGTGGGCTGGAGCAGAGGTGTGGGACACCTCTGTGACAAACGAGTGACAAACGCGCTGCGCTACAGCGCTGCGGGCACCAGAGAGTTAAACGCGTCACCCCGCGGCTGTGAAATGATTCCCATCAAACGAACTCATCCTTCGGAGAGATGAAGGGAAGAAAAGCCGTAATGGAGATCTAAATTAATAAAATAAGCCGAGCCATCTGGCACCATGTCCCTCCGGATCCTCCCGCAGCCCTGCCCTCTCGGTACCCCTTGCCTTCCCATCTGACAGTCATTAGGAGCACGGAGCACATCCAGCCAGGCTCACCCCACGTGTCCTTGGTGTTATTTTAATTAAAGCAGCAGCAAATTGTGACAGATGATAAAAATTTAAATTCTGATCGTTTCCATACGATGAAGGCTTCCCGGTGTGGTAAATAAAGCGCCTTCCTTTTCCATTTCTTTTCATCATATTCCCTCACTGCTACTACGCTGCACATGAGACCTCAATTAAAGGACACCTATATCTGATTAGATGGCTTCATATATAGACCAGCACTGTACATAAAGCAAGGTGCCCATCCTGGGTTTCCTTCTCATTACATAGCACTTTAATAGCTACACTGTCCCTACTTAAGATTTATTTTATGCTAGGTTTTATACTGTGGTTTTATGTTTTCTTTCCCAGAAGAAAGCTTTCCTAGGAATAAAATCTTCTCCTCTTTTACCATTTCTAAGAAAGGAATAATAGAAGTCAGCAGGCAGCTTTCCTCCACTTTATCCAAATGCATTGTCCCCAGCTGCGCAGTTGAGAAGAGTGGGTTGCAAAATTGTCACAACAGTTCTCTCCCTGCTTTCAAGGATTTCACCAAAAGCAGCAGTACTCTTATGGCTTAAGAAAAAGTTTGTTGGTTTCTATGTTGCAGCTTGGATCTCTTCCTGAATCTATCATAGAATGTAAAAAAATTTTAAAACTCCAATGGATTTTTCAGCGCTTGGCTTATTAGGTAGAAATACGTTAACCCAATTCCTAGCTTAGTAACAAAATTGCAGATAATTTGTGTTCCTAATCTTTCCCTAGAATGTATATTTCTAATTCTGACCCTAAAACTTTACCCTGATTTCATGTATTATTTCTACCAGCTCCTCTCTCCCCACTTTCCTTTAGTTAAAGTCCTTCCACTTCTGAGATATAAAAATGTTCTCATTTCACCTGCACTGTACAGCGTGGAGTTAAAAGATATTCACTGGAAGCTCCATCCTTTCCAGGTCACTCATCCTACTGCAAAATCCCAGAACAAGCTGCTTCTCCCACCCCAACAGCTGTAGACATTCTTCCACTCCTCTGCTCTCCCTGAACCAGCCAAAAGTTCCTCCACACTCCTGCAGGAGCTGGGAATTACTGATACTGCCTTTTTCATGCCATTTTTTCCCTTTCCAGAGAAGCTGGTGTCTCACAGTGTTTTGCCTCTCCTCTGCTGAGCCTGGCTCCTCTTGGCTGAGGAGGTAGGGATGTGTTTCTGGAATGCTACAGATGGTGTTGGCAGGAGCAAAGTCATGGCTGGCCCAAACTGAGCTGAGTTTGTTTTGTTAAATATTAATTTTGCCCATCTCTGCAACTCACCATCTGTCTCCTGGAGCCCAGCAATGACCCTTCTTCAGTCCAGGTGCTTGGAGACCATCCTCCCAGCACCTGCCAGGCTCTGCTCCCACCCTGCTCCCCATCCCCACATTCACACTTCCCACAGCCTTCCGCTCCTCCAGCTCCCCCAGCAGCTGCTAAATCATCTGGGCACACTGGGATCACTAAAAGCCCCTCAGCAGAGCAGTTACTCAGTCAAAAAGGACTCCCTCTTCTTCCCCTGAAGAATTATGTTACTATATAGAGAGCAACAACAGAGATGTTTCTAATACAAACATTTAAGAAAAGAAAAAAAAAAAAAAGTCCAAATCTCTATCACATTTTCTCTTAATAAATAGTTTATATAATCAGTCTAAAGGCAGCTCCTGGGAAGCCAGAGGGTCTCTCTCACTAGCAAGCTTCAAAAGGGATGAGTTTTAATTGCACTTCACTGTTAGAAAACAAACCAACAGCCCAGTCTTGACTCAGGCAGGAGACAGTCTCTTCACATGGAGATACAAAGATCTATTATTAGTGCAAAAAAAAAAAAAAATCTTATGAATGTTTAAACTTGTCTTTGGTGTGACAAAGCAATCCCACAGCACAGAATGCTTTTTCAAGAAACAGATAACAAAGACAGGGTGTGCTGGATGCCATGGCATGGCACGGGGGGACAGGAGCTGAGGGACTGGGAGCTGCAGAAAACTCTCTTAGGTGACCTTAGGACTCCTGCAAAGGGTCTGCTTAACTATTAGTTCAGTCATGCTTCCCGTTCTCCCAGAATTCATCCACACTGTTTAAACACCAAAGTTATGAAACATAA